TCTGTGAGGAAGGAAAAAAAAAATAAAAAGGACTGTGCCATCTTTTTGATCTTTGCAGATTGTCTGTGGAAAAATTTATATTCACAGCATCCTGGCTAAGAGGAATCTCATAATCCATTCTTATTGCATTAAGGTCTAATTGCCTGCCTTAATAGGATATTGCAGAATTAGAAAAACAAAGAAAGAAGAAATCGTTGATGGAAAGAGAGAGTAACAAATACAGTGGAAATAAATTTAAACCTATAGTCACTTGCTCAAAAGCAAGCTAGCAAAGCCTTTTAGTTATGGGAAAACTTTTCTTCTCCTTAAGTTCCTGTGGGAAGGGTGAAAACAATTTTGTTCATGGTAGCACTTTTTCTTTTCAACTAGAAATGTGGGTTTTTTAAAGGAAATTCTTGATCAGTTGCAGTGACAAGGCTAATTCAAGAATCTTTTTGTTTCCTGAAACAAAGTGGGCTTGTTTGGAGTCTTGGGAACCTTGAAAGTAAAATCAGAGGTTCATGTGCTACAATTCTGGTTTTATTTGTTTGTTCTAACTTTGAATTTACTTTAACTTTAAATATGCTTTTAAAACAAGAAGACCAGTGAATTACAGGGGCAAGCAGATGAAGTTTTTATCAGTAAGTAGAGGAAGAAGTAGGATGTAAATAAACATTAGTGACATACCAATCTGCTGCTTCCTTTTCCTCTAACTTCTGTATTTAAGCTAGAACAGTTTCTTAGGAAATAACCCAAGTATGTCCACTTTGTATTTCAACATTTAGTCTGAAATATGTCAGAAAAATTCACCAAGTTAATCACATTGAGCTCTTTCTATTATAGCATTTCTTTAAGATTAATGAAAGGATTATAACTGGGTAAGAAGTATGGTTTATGACATTAGTTGTTACCCTTGCTGATTTAATGTGGGCCTGTAACTTAGAACAATTATATTGTCATTGTCAATTTTTTCTTTTCATATTCTTTTTTCACTGTAACTTATATAACTGCAAAATAAAGTGATTTTAATTCTGGAGCTCCATATCACATTAGCAATGAAAAGGGAGATAGTTCTGTGCTGCTTTCAGAACTTAAGTTTTTCCACCTAAAATCTTAGAAGGTAGCAAGAAACAGTTGTGATTAGAACAGTTGCATTTGTTTAGGTTAAATAATTTTTTAAAATTTTTTATTTTTTATTTTTTTTTCAGAGGAGAGAATGTACCTAGCAGACAGCTGGAGATGGTGGATGGAGCTGGGAGAGGTTAATGTTATCCTAGAGCTTCATCTATTTTACAGAACTTGAGACAAAGGGTTTGGGAGGAAAAGAGATTATTTGCTAAAATTAAAAGTATTGCTTATGTTGTGTAGCTGTGCATCATACTGCAATAGGCTTGAATTAAAATCTGTACTTACTAAAACTAAACTGAAATATGCTGTTTTTAAAAAAAGGAGACTGTGTCCTGAAATTCCATATTGGGAGTTAAAAATTATCTTTGAGAACCATAGTTTTCTAGTTTGAGTGTAGATCTCAGTGTGTCAAAGCCTCATGTTCTGCTGAGTTTCAAGGTCCATTCGGTACCTTGTGAGCCCTGAAAAGGGCTGAAAGAAATTCATGTTTCCACCATGAGAAATTGGACATTTTGGCTTTTCATCTGCACAGTACTTTGTTCTTCATTTTGAGCTACCTGCTTACAGACTTTTTTTGCATAGAGGTTGTGAATAGAGCATGCACTGTTCTTGAGGGGAGACCACCTATGGGAGGGACTTGCAGGGTATGCCTGCCAGACACAGACTGGAATTTATGTCTGGCTGGCTGTCTTTTCCATACTAAACCTCTATGATTATTACACTAGTAAAAATCAAACACCAATACATGTAATGATGTACTTAAGAGAGAAAATACCAAATTTATTTGCAGCCTATCAGTCAGAATGTCTCTTACACTGTGTGTAGGTTTATAGTTTTTCATATTGGTTTTTAAGACTCGGAGCATTTAAATATTTTTAGGCATGTGAGGACAGAGACCTTTTTTCAGCTCCTGGGATTGATTTTTGCTAGCTAGAAAAAGGTCTGCCTCTCTTTTATGAGACAGTGTTAGACAGTAATGCCACAGAGGGTTTTTTTGTGTTTTATAACTGCTGATTTCTGCCAAAACAGCAGCTTCTTCTGTGAGTATCAGTAACTTGAAAGAAAAGACATGTTCAGAGCATTGAATGTGGTACTTCTCAGTGTAAAGCTCCTGTTACACCACGCTGCCTACAGCCTCACAAAGAGGATTACACAGGCTCTATTGTGTCTCCTAACCTTTTTTGAAATAATTTTGTGTGTATGCAAGACAGAGGTCTGGTAGAGGTGGTTTTTAGCTTTAGCTTTTTTTATTGTTCTTTCTAAGTCTCTAGCAGGAACCACTTTGTGCTCTCTTATTTCTTTTTCATTATTTCTGTTGCTTAGAGCAGCCGTGTCTGCAGCGCTTGTGTTTCAGCGCTTTATCCACGTGTTCTTATGGCAGAAGCAAAAAAAAAAAAAAAAAAAATCTTCATTCTGTGAAAGGAATTCTGCAGGTTGTGCCCCAAACCGCAATGAAGTAACTTCCCACATAATTAGGTAGTGCAAAGTTGAGGGAAAGGCTAGCCCCAGAGGAACAAGCAGTAGCAGCTACCTGTGTGTGTTACAGCAGTCATCTCAGTCCTCCTTCCCATCCCACTTGCCTCCTCCTGCCTGCACATTGCGTACCTCTGTGTCAGAGGCATGGCTATAGGAAGTGTGCATGACTTGTCCTTGCTGAGGGTTTGGCTCTGTGCTCTGTTCAACTACTGCACTAGTAACCTAGTGGACAGGGAGTTCTTGTGTCTGCCAAGGTGGGTGAGAACCACAGTGAAAAGAGCCTGGAGATCTGAGAGAGCATCCCTTCCAAACAGCTTCCAGTAAAGAAAAAAAAAAAAAATCCATGCAGGGGAAAAAAACCAATCAAACAAACAAACCACCCTCTGCTGCTGTTTTGTGGTTCTTCTAGCCTGGGCAGATGCCGTTGTGCTTTAGGAGCAAGGAGGGTCCTGTTATCTGTCTCTTCACATTAGTACAAATGACTAATGCTATTCTTTTGCACAGGGTTGTTATTAAATGTCAAAGATAGCAATTCTAGGGCAAGCAGTCATGTTGTGACTCAGTCTAGGTAAGCAATGGGAGATGTTAAAGAAAATGGGAATTTGTAGTCAACTTGAAGTAAAGCACTGTGAGGCTCTGATAGTTGTGGGGTGTGTTACTGGTCTGTGTCCCTTCAGCACTTCCTGTAGCAGCTACAGCCCTGGGGAGGTGTGTGGGGAAGGGCTCAGGACGCGTGCTGCTGGGAGGAGGCTCTTGTGGAGCTGGGAGAACTGTAAGACCCCGACAACTTGTGTTACTGATGAAGGAGGTGTGTTTGACACTCATTTGTCCACTGGAAAAATAAAGGAGAGAGCTGGAAGTTCCTTTTGCCTATTCCGTGAGCAGCTGAGCCTTAACTTCCACCTTTTGGCAACTGTGCCAAGAGCACCAACTGAGACGAGTGCTGCAGTGAGATAAAACCCTCTCCTCTCTGGCTGCCTTTACCAAATCCCAGGCTAACTATGCAAAACCGGTAAAAGCTCCTGGAAGGAGAGCGTGGGAGGCTAGGGGCTGGACCCCTTCCTGTGGTGGAGGAGACACTTTCATCAGGAGCTCCAGGCTGGGCTCTGCAACGGCGACCGCTGGCCTTTCCCACAGACTGAAATCGTGGGACGAGCTTGCGCTGGTGCAGGGAAGAGCAGGGCTAACGCATACCTTTGACCACGTAGGCCATAGCTGATGTACAAGTTCTGCATTTAGAAATATCTGTTATCTTCTTCAGAGAAATGTAGGCCAGAAATAATCAAACGATCATGTATATTCATTGCCTGTGACACCGCCCATTAGGGTGTGTGAGGTGCAGGTCTGTATGAATTGGTATGCTACAAGTTAAAAATTGTAAATCTGGTGGAGCTTTGTACGCCTGCTTTGATCTCCTTGGGCTCTGCTAAGCTGTTCTTCTCCCAGACAAAGGGAGCCCCACTCTGTGATAATGTACATCCTGTCTCTTTCCCCACTCCATGTTGTGCACACAAGATGCATATTTTACTTTAGAAATGTCAAATTTGGGTCACAAGTTCAGCAGTTAAAATGATGATTTTACCACATCCTGCTTGCACAGGAAGCTTATTTTTTAAAAAGCTGGTAAGTTGAGTCCTCTAGATTTTGTCAAAACAAAAAGCAAAACAAGCTATTTAAAGCTGCAAAGAGATCTGGATTCTCATATGAGCAGTTTGCCACTTTGTCTCACAGTGTGTACCTTTAAAGGGGAAGCCTTGCAGCCTGCTCCTGTGCTACCTGGACTAACCAGCCTTCTATAATCACCAGGCTGTGATGATAATCTGAAAAAAAAAATACTTTCCCCATTATGTTAAAAAAGAGTTGGGTTTTTTCCTTGGTTAGCCAAGTTGGATTTTTCCGAGGAAGGGTTATTTCTTCATTAATTGGCAAAAAAAAAGTATATGGTACCATTTGGTCCATTGAATAGGCAATAACTGGTTTGCACTGTGTAACAATCAAACACATTAAAAAATTGTGCCAAATATTCATTTGGTAATTGCAAGGCTTTCACTTGTGCAGTGGTACTTAAGGGAAAGGAGCCAGTCAATCTGGTAAGCAATGTGGATGCTCAATAGCAAGACCATTGTACTGCCTGTACTGTGAAGTGGCAAAGATACATAAATGTAATCTGGCCTGAAGTAAGAAGACTTCTGTTTTGATTTTAAAGTAATGCATCATTTCAGTACATATCCTGTAAAAAAACCAGTGTTGAGTGGAATGATGGACCATGGAATGATGGACCACGTGTGACAGACCACAAAATATAATGAAAACTGGAACCTTCTGAGGATCTGTATGCCGTGGTGTGACTGTTATTAAATGGTAAAATAACCTGCTCAGCAGTCTGCAATACTGATTTTGTCTTTGTTCTCTTGTAGGAATGTTTACCCTTGCAGAAGTTGCATCGCTCAATGACATCCAGCCAACTTACCGTATCTTGAAACCATGGTGGGATGTATTTATGGATTATCTAGCTGTTGTTATGTTAATGGTTGCCATTTTTGCTGGAACCATGCAGCTGACCAAAGACCAGGTGGTCTGCTTGCCAGTTTTGCAGTCTACTGTAAATTCAAAAGCACAAGCCAGCACATCAGGGAAGGCTGACTTTACCACTGTTGAAGCAACCACTGGTCAAGGAGAAGCGGCATCAATGCGAACGGTTTCCTTTGGAAGTGCCCCTGCTGTAACACCTGACATACCTCTGAGCAGAGCTACCTCTTCTCAGTATCAACCCACTGAATCAGGCCAGGAGCCGAAGAAGGAGCAGAAAGATTCTTCAGGCCGTAAAACAAATTTGGATTTTCAGCAATACGTATTTATTAACCAGATGTGCTATCACTTGGCTCTTCCATGGTATTCAAAGTATTTTCCCTATCTTGTTCTCATCCATACTATCATTTTAATAGTCAGTAGCAATTTTTGGTTCAAGTATCCCAAGACTTGCTCAAAAATTGAGCATTTTGTGTCTATATTAGGGAAGTGCTTTGAGTCCCCTTGGACTACAAAAGCATTATCTGAAACAGCATGTGAGGACTCTGAGGAGAACAAGCAGAGGTTAACTGGTGCCTCGTCCTTGCCCAAGTATGTTTCCACTAGCAGTGATGAAGGAAGCCCAAGTGCCACCACTCCCATGATAACAAAATCTGGCTTCAAATTTTCAGCTGACAAGCCAATGATTGAGGTTCCCAGCGTCACTATTTTAGATAAGAAAGATGGAGAACAAGCCAAAGCGCTGTTTGAGAAAGTCCGTAAGTTCCGAGCTCACGTAGAGGACAGTGATCTGATTTACAAGCTCTATGTTGGCCAGACTGTCATCAAGACTGTCAAGTTCATATTTATTCTCTGTTATACTGCAAACTTTGTGAACACCATTAGTTTTGAACACATCTGCAACCCGAAAGTGGAACACCTGATTGGCTACACACAGTTTGAATGTACACACAACATGGCTTACATGTTGAAGAAGCTGCTTATCAGCTATATTTCCCTCATTTGTGTCTATGGTTTTATCTGCCTCTACACACTTTTCTGGCTTTTCCGAATACCTTTAAAAGAATATTCCTTTGAAAAGGTCAGAGAAGAGAGTAGCTTCAGTGATATCCCTGATGTCAAAAATGATTTTGCATTTCTGTTGCATATGGTAGATCAGTATGACCAGCTGTATTCTAAGCGATTTGGTGTCTTTTTGTCAGAGGTAAGTGAGAACAAACTGCGGGAAATTAGTTTAAACCATGAATGGACTTTTGAAAAGCTGCGGCAACATGTTTCCCGCAATGCCCAGGACAAGCAAGAGTTGCATCTCTTCATGCTGTCGGGGGTCCCCGATGCAGTGTTTGATCTGACGGATCTGGATGTGTTGAAACTGGAGCTGATTCCTGAAGCAAAAATCCCAGCGAAAATTTCCCAGATGACAAATCTTCAGGAGCTTCATCTGTGCCACTGCCCTGCGAAGGTCGAGCAAACTGCCTTCAGCTTCCTCCGGGACCACTTGAGATGCCTTCATGTGAAATTCACAGATGTTGCAGAAATTCCAGCGTGGGTGTATTTGCTCAAAAACCTCCGTGAATTGTACTTGATAGGCAACTTGAACTCTGAAAACAATAAAATGATAGGGCTTGAATCTCTCCGAGAGTTGAGACACCTTAAAATTCTCCATGTGAAGAGCAATTTGACCAAAATTCCCCCCAATATCACAGATGTGGCACCACATCTGACAAAACTAGTCATTCATAATGACGGCACTAAGCTTGTGGTACTCAATAGCCTTAAGAAAATGACTAATGTTGCAGAGTTAGAACTGCAGAGCTGTGAACTGGAGAGAATTCCCCATGCCATCTTCAGCCTCTCTAACTTACAGGAACTGGATTTAAAGTCAAATAGCATACGCACAATTGAAGAAATCATCAGTTTCCAGCACTTAAAAAGATTGACTTGTTTAAAGCTGTGGCACAATAAAATAGTCAACATTCCTTCCTCCATTACCCACATAAAGAATTTGGAGTCTCTTTATCTCTCCAATAACAAACTCGAATCCTTACCAGCTGCAGTGTTCAGTTTACAGAAACTTAGGTGTTTAGATGTAAGCTACAACTCAATCTTATTGATTCCAGTGGAAATAGGTTTGCTTCAAAATCTGCAGCATTTTCACATCACAGGAAACAAAATCGACGTTTTGCCAAAACAGTTGTTTAAATGCGTTAAATTGAGGACTTTGAGTCTGGGACAAAACTGTATTACCTCAATCCCAGATAAAATTAGTCAACTGGTGCAGCTGACTCATCTGGAACTGAAGGGAAACTGCTTGGACCGTCTGCCAGCCACGCTCGGGCAGTGTCAGCTTCTCAGGAAAAGCGGGCTCGTGGTGGAAGATCACCTCTTTGACGCTTTGCCCTCAGAAGTTAAAGAGGTGTTGAACCAAGACACAAGCATTCCTTTTGCTAACGGGATTTAGGCTGAGGTGAACTGTTCTGCTAGCTGACTTCCAAACAGCAAATGCTAAAAAGTATGGCAATTGTGAGACCATGCGTTTTAGAAACCAGAATTCCTTGGAAGGCAGGACTACTAGCAGGATTAGTAAGAGGTGTAACCGAGTGTTCAATGTTTGCAGTGTTTTAAAAGATTAATTCCAAAATTTTTGAGAGGATAAAGAACCTTAACAATCTCAATTCTTTTTTTCCTTGAATTGTTTGTAACTTGGATGCTGCCGCTTTTGAATGTTTACAAATTTGCTTGCCTGCTTAAAGTAAATGATTAAATTGATGACCTTTTCCTACTATGCAAGTTATTCCTTAAGGTCTGGATTTACTTTAGTGCATTATGGGGTGGGGGAGGGGGGCAGGAAGGATCAATGTTGTATATGGTATAGTTCTAACAGCACTTGAAACACATGCTGATGTGTGTTGTTAGCATTTAGCCATCCTCAGCAAATGAAACCAGTTTGGCTGTGCTTTGAACTGCACCAGAACCACCATTTTCCTGCATTAAGGTATGTGGTTTGCATCAGGCCAAATGTGTTTGCCTTCATTCTTCATCTTCAAGGCCTCATGTGGGGTGAGATTTCTTCTGTGGTCCAGTGGGCTGCTCCTTCACACTGGCAAAGACTGGTCACGTCCTGCAGCTTGTCTCCCCATCAGCTTCCATGATGCTCCTCTGTCCCACACAGCAGTGGGTGGTAAAAGGGGGAATACTGCCACTTGGCTTTCAAGTTGGGCATAGTTTTGATATTTGAACTGTTTTGCAAGGTGACTTTGAAAGCCATTAAACACCAAGTGACTTTACTGATCATGTTTTGCTCCTCTTCTGAGTTTTCATCTGGGAAAGTCAAGGCATATTATGAGTCGGTGATTGTTTTGTTTCACAGCCTTTGCTTCAGAACTGGGGTGTCTGCTCTGTTTACTAGACTAATGACAGAGACATAAGAGTTATGATTTACCCAAACGTGATTTAGCTTTATCACCTATTGTGGTGTGTCTTCCACACCTGAACTTAAAGCATAGGACCACCCTTCTCGCCCACCCCAAGTAATTGGATGTTTTTGAACACTTACGCACTGTTAGAAAACCCTAACTGTGTGCTAGATAAGTAATCAAATAAAGAAAAAAGCAGACAGCAGTGAGCGTGGGATTTTTTGTTGTTGTTGTTTTTTTGGTGGTGTTTTTTTAACTGAGTTTGCATTGCCAGAACCATTAAAGAAATATAATCCATTAAATCTGCAAAATCATCAGTTGTAAATCTTGGCCATTTACATTCCATGTGTGCAGGAAAGAAGTACTATGCTGGGAGATGATTACACGATTACTCATGGCTTAAACACAATTCCCTATTGTAGTGCGGTCAGGACTGAACTAGTCTGTAGTTCAAGGGACTGTTCTTCCCACACAGAAATCCTCATGCACAGCGATTTCTACTGTAACTTTACCAGAGCTGCCGTGACTTACACCACTATTAATGAGGGGATAGTTTAGGCCTAGGGGCATTGAGCAGTCAGGAACATTTAAAATACTGCTTTTATGAATCTTGCACATTCTATTATTAATAATTTACCGTTAGTCATGCTGGGAGGACTGTTCTCAGCTGTAGGTAGCAGTCTCTGAATACATACCCACCGTATGTTTATGTATATCAGAAGACCAGTTTATGAACAGTGGTTTTCCCACTTCTTTTGGGGATACAGTCTGTTTGCCACTTGCCAGAAGGTAGTTCACTTGGGCTGTTGACAGTTCTGCAACACCAAGTCACAGGTTTGGCAGAGTACTTGCAGTTACTGATCTGTCCTCCACTGGGAAATTTAGTGCTAATCCTCAGAAATTTTTTTTTTAACTAGAAGTTAAGACTGCAGTGGAGGTTTTTTTTGTTGGTTTTTTTTTGGTTTTTTTTTTTGTTTTTTTTAAGAAACTCTTTCATGTGTTTATTTTTTTGCACATAGATCACTTTAAAATTGCTGGACTATTGAATCTTTAGAAAAACTGTGGAAAATATTCTTGGTGTATGCTTTGTATTTGCTGTTGAGTGTCATTTCAGCTTCCCAAAAATTGTGTGTAGGAGGGAAGAAGAGTTGGAGGATGACAAAGTAATTAAAATATTTAGAAAAATAGTTCTATTTTTCATCTTTTTTGCTTATTTTAATAGCAGAGTCGCACAGAATGCGACTGTGGATTGATCCAGCTTTTTAAAGCTTTTTTTGGTGTTTCCAATTATCCTACTGTATCTCTGATGTTCAAAAAATAAACCCATGTCCACTTCATGTGAGTATAGTATGCCTAATTTAGACCACTGTTTTGACTAGTTATTAGCTAATTGTACTTCTTTAGACAACTTCCTCCAAAATAAGTATATGTTAAAGTTAATTTCAGGCTTGTGGCGCTTGCTCAGCATAAACTTCATTCTTGTTTTTAGTAGAGCTTTCTCAGAGTGGGGAGGAACTGCCCATCGTCCCCATGTCACCTCCCCCAAGCCCTTCCTCCTCTTTGTGACTGTTTATAATGTTCCTATTTCCTGCGTGTCAACTGACACATTCTTACTTTAAAGCCTTGGAAGTTCATCTCTTTTCCATGTAAGGCATGTGAAATATATTTTGCATTTCTATTTGATTTAATAAATAAGATGTTTATATCTTCCTCTAATCTGTTTTTTTTTCTTTTTTTTTAATGGGGAAAAAGTGTGTTTGCATACTAAAATCTCTGATTTCAGCTGTCTGCTGTACTTGTTTTGTGGTGCCTATAATCCAAGAAGGAAGAGGTGTGAGTTGGTACTGCTAGTAAATCCTGTAGGTATGGTTTCTAACCAGACTACAGTACTTCACGATAGGTTTTTTCTTTTCTTCTTTTTTTTTTTTTCATATACATAATCTAAATGACCTACCACTGGTTTTGTTTGGCTAAAAGAGTTTTGCAGAATATATATGTAGCCTAGGAAGAAAAATTACTTTGTTCATTCAAATGAGCATTCTGTTTGCTCCTGCCACTGTAACACATTTCTGTGAAGATCTTTTAGTTTTCCAATAAATTACTCTTCTGGAAGGTGCTTCCTGTGATGCAAACAGAGCTATGGCTGTCCTGAGCAGGCATGGGATCTCTTGGTGTAAGAGATCAACATCCCAGGGTTGATGGCAGAGCCATAAGATACCCTCAGCCCATTGCCACTGTGCTCTATCTGGGCTGCTGTTTCCTAGTGTGATGGGATTATTGCCTGTGCGGCAACTGGCCTTGAAGGTAACATGGAGCACGACACTGCTCTTCAGTCCAAAGCAAGGAGGGAGGCTGAACCTGTGACTTGGGACCTACTTTTGGTTTTGACACAACACCTGGGGAAAAAGATATTTAAAAGATCATTAAAAAGATTTAAATTTTCTGTCTGTAAGATGGGGATTCTTTAATGGAGGCAAAATGCGTAAATGATTGTGGAAAACACAAAACCTGTAGAAACGAGGTCAAGTGGAAGGATTCGGGAGGCATAGGTAGTCTTGTCATTAACTGCATGGCAGAGCCCTGTCATGTTCCTAATGTGTGATTCCAGAACAATTTGATTTAGACAGCAAACAGTCATAGGCAGGACTAGAAAGTATCTCAAGGTGTCTTTAACTCTGCCACCATGACTCCTGCAGAAATAAGATTCCCTAACTCATTCCTGCCAGGTGTTTGGCACGATGTAGGAACAGGTTAGACAGTGATGGAGATTCCAGCCTCTCTAGGCAAACTGTTTCCGTAATCATCTTCCGTGTTGAAAAAACACAGCTCTGTTTAGGCCAAACCAAATGATTAGAAATGTATTAATCTGTTTGCTTGCAGAAGTACAGACTGAGACAGACTTCTGTGTAGACACGTTGCATCCCAAGCAGCTTAGGAAGACAGAAGTTTAGGATTCCTTTGAAGAGAGCTCTGAGGGACAGCTAGCATCAGTTTGGTTACACTTACAGTGCAAAAAATTGCATTCTCCAATGATGGCAAGGCCATCTGCAATCACGGTGCAATGCATTTATGGCTTATTTGCCTCATTTTAGGCTGGTGGTTGACATCCTTGCCCTTGCAAAGCTGAGCAAAGCCTGGGTGGTCTGTTTATTCAGAAAGACATTTTGTGAAGATGTTTAAAGAAAGTGTTTCTCAAGCAAGTTTGCTGTAGGAACATGCAAGGTGATCCTTAAGTTTACCAGAAGTTAAAGAATTCAGACAAATTCTGTAGTGTTTTTAACCTTGGCATTAACTCCTTGCCTCCCACCGTGAACTGATACAATTGCTGCACGAACTACTGATTAGCTTACGAAGTTCCCCAAATGATTGGCAGTTTTAGCAGTACAGAAGAGTTTTCAGTTCAGGCTGTCTGCTTGTGTTTGTACAGTGTGTTCAGCACTTAAACCAAAGGCATCAAACATTGATGTTGCAAAACCCTGCAGGCTTATGCTGTGACCAGTTTCCCAGGACAGCAAATCATTCCCCGTGCTGCTAAAGGGAGGGAAAGCTGTGTTGCTGAGTACAGTTGTTTCTGTAGCAAAGATGAGGCTTTAGAATTAAGCTCAGAAACAGATTTTCCAGGCTGATTACTAACACGCACCCATTCCAAGATAAAAGTCATGAGATGTCATTTCTGGCAGAGAGATGCTGCAAATAGTTCCTGTAACTCAGCCAGGCATGGGTGCAGAAGTGGCAGCTCTTTAGTGCTGCACATCAACACAATACAACTCAAGTGAGGATCTTTAAAACCACACGCACTGGAGTTTGGCCAGGCTGCATCTCTCTCCCTCCTCTGAAGAGAACAGCCCCTAAGCCCTTTTGCAATTACTACAGCCAGGACCTTTGTTCTGTCTTGCCTGCAACAGCGTGTTGCCCCTGATGCTGGAGGTAACGTAGGGTTATTGGTTTAATAATGACTGTTTGGGAAGAATGCCATCTTTTAAATTCACACCACAGTTGCTTGCAGGAAGTCTTGCAGGTCTTTTCCCATAAAATGAACATGTTGTGCCCATAAACAACAAAATCTCGAGTTGGGACTGGGTTGCGTAGACCCTCAGGAATAAATGCACAAACACGTTGCTGTTCTGCTAACCAGTTCTGGGTAGTTTTGCTGCTTCGGGTGGTTTGTAAAAGCAGATTTTTTTAAGACCTTTTCCCTGGAGCCAATGTTGCTGGCCTGGGGCAGGCTGGCTTGCCCCAGACAGTGTTGGTGGAGCTGCCCTGGCAGAGCTGGGGTGGGAGAAGGCCTGGGTGCCTTGGCTGCTGCCAGCACCCCGTGGAGACTCCCCTCTGCTGCCATGGACGGATTTATCTCATTGCT